CTCCCCCCCTTCCCCCCTCCCCCTCCTCCTCCTCCTCCTCCTCCTCCTCCTCCTCCTCCTCCTCCTCCTCCTCCTCCTCCTCATGCTGCTGCTGCTACAGGACACTCAGTTTGATGCACTTTCTTATGGGCTTGTTGTTTGCCTCTCTCCTGCTGTCTGTGGTTGGGAGTTGGGGGTACACTGGCTTTTCCTTCCCCCTTCTCCTCTTTGCTGTGTGCTGTAGTTTCCGACTTACTTTATAAATTATGCATTTGTGTCCCTCATCCCACTCAGCTTTTCTTGATGCTCCAAATCCTAATGAGGACTCTTGGGAGTGGGTGGTGCTGTCCTCAGACAAGTGGGTGAACAGTGTTTTGTGACATCAGTGTTGACCCTCAGGCTGGCTTTCTGTGTCTGTTCCATAATAGCTCAGCTGTTGATGCATGAGCTGGCCTCAGTGTAGGCCCAGACCCGCCACAAGTCAGGCAGCTTCGCTTACTCTTGTTTCTTATCTGCAGAGTCATCTAGGTGTTTGGCATGGTAGCCTGTGAAGTTTCATTACAAATTGGCCAAGCAGCTGGATCACCCATGCCTTCTAAACAATAAATGGCTTTGGTGACCAGCTAAGAAGGAAAGTATCAACAAAGCCCTTGTAATAATGTTTGAGGTCTTTGAATGTTAGCAGACATCAATATGCTCCAGATACCAAGGTGGTATGGCTGTGGGTGAAGCCATTTACTCAGATTTCACCATGTAAGCATACATGCACTTGTGCTGTTGCAGACACTTCTGGCTATGTCATGAGACTCGGGACCATGAGACTAAGTGGAACTAAGATTAACTACCATAGCCTCCTGTTTTCTACACCAAGAATAGAAAGTTTTCCCAAGGCTTTTGACTGGGACCTAATCCCAAAAGGTTCCTTCTAGGATGGCCCAGGAACCCTGGCACTGAGAGCTTACAGCACTTCCTCTGACTTGTCTGGAGACTGAAGGGATTGACAGGTTGAGGTTACAAACTGGGAGTGACCACTGAAAATCTTATACAGCTCACTCGCTCCCTCCCTCTTTTGATTTTTTTTTTTGAGACAATGTCTCTCCATGTAGCCCTGGTGTTCCTAGAACTCCCTATAGAACACACTGCCCTTGAACTCACAGAGATCCCCTTGCCTCTACCTCCATAGTGCAGGGGTTAAAAAGTGTGTGCTACCATCCCTGGTATATACAGTTTCTTTATGTTTTTTGGAGATAGTCTCATGTCATCCAAGCTGTTTTGGAATTCACTGAGTAGCCAGGCTGGCCTTGGTCTCATGGCTGTCCTCCTACTTCAGCCTCCCAAGTGCTGAGGTTGTTACAGGCTTGCCTGGATGGATTTCAAAGTGATAATTCTTTTCAAATTCAAAATTAACCTCTGGAGACAAAACTGTGCCATCTTATGTTACATTCCATTGAGAGGAAATGTTTTAATGTCCAAAATGTTTATTTTATGCAATATTCTGCAGTTTTTGGTACATTAAATTTGATAGCCTTTATATGAAAACATTTCTGTAGCTGTATTGAAATCATTAATGTAGAATTTTTGGAATACAGTTGCCATATAAATGAAATGAAATGCCAAGAAGACATTTTAGTGTAGTTGAACTTGCCAGTCTATATAGTCTATGCCAACATGGTTATATTTGCAGAATAGGATATACTTGATTGGATTAAGAATATTTAGTAATAATCTTGGAATCAGTAGGTAGACTAAAATCCATTTTGTAATTTATGTGTTAGTATATTGAGGTCTTGTGTTGTTTTTATAGGAAGCATAGTTTAGGCTGGTATTAGTGCCCAGGCCAGGTTTGCTACTGCTGAGTTCTGGAGCAGGAGAGTTGACCCTGACTCCGAGTGATTTGGTGAGTATAGGGGGTGCACTGGAGACAAGTGTGCCTGGTTGTGTCACAGGACTGAAGAGGGACTACGGCGTTTTCATGAATTTTTGTCTGAGCGTCTCACACCATGAGATTGTACGCTTGTGCGCGTATGGAGGCTAGAAGTGAGTCTGCGTGTCTTCTCTACTGCTCTCCATCTTATCCTGTGACACAGCGACGTCCCCGATCTGGCTATACTAGATGGCCAGTGAATTGCAGAGCCTAAGGATGCTCCTGTCTTCCTTCCCCGTGCTGGAGTTACAGGCACAGCCACCAAACCTGACTCTTAAATGGCTGCTGTGATCTGAAGTTAGACCCTCATGCTTGTGCCACAGACATTTTACTGACTGCACCATTTGCCTGGCTTATGAGGGACGTTTACCTTTTGTAATTAACTGGGAACATATTAACTGAGATTTGCAATAAATGAAGTCAGATTGAAGGCTGCATCAATACCCTGGACCCCTTCTCTGTCATTGGTGTGGGAAAGAATAAGGGTGACCCAACATGGGACTTGCCGCCACGGGAGCTGGGCAGGTTCACCCTTTGACCCCTCCTTCCCCTTTGCCGTCATAAGGTGAGTGAGCTCAAGCTGTGATTGAGACACCTGTTAGCATCACTTCATAGCAGTTGTCACTCATGGCTGATGACACGAGCAGGGCAGACTGCATTCCAGACTGTGGCTGTGAACTTCTGGGGTTTGAGTAAAAGGATGTGACAAGTCACCGAGCCAGCCCAAGCCGGACAGTCTTGTCCCTTCCCCTTTGGATGCACAGGGCTGCGGGGAGAGATGCTGGGAAAGCAGACTCCTAGGGCAGTTACAGCCGGGCTTTCCCTGGGATCGGCCAATTCTCAGGTGTGCCACAGACTTTGAACTTTGAGTGGGGAGCAGGAGGTTAGGTTAAGGGATGCTTTGCAGGCTGAGGACACAGGAACCAGGAGCTCAGCTGTGGTGAATCAGACAGTCTGTGGCAGCCCTCTTGGTCCACTGGTGACATGTTCTGAGACCCCAGTGGCTGCCCTTCCATGGACCATGTTTTCTTATTTGTAAGCACCTGTTATGGGATATGTTTGTACAGGAGGCACAGAGAGTGCACGGACAGCAGCAACAGAGCAGTGAAACAGTCTTGTCACAGTGGCTCTGTGAGTGCGGGCCTCTCCTCCACCGTAAACACCCCCCCCCCCATGTGTGCCTGTGCCATGCCACAAGTGCTCTTCGCTCTTCTCCGTGTGGGCTCCAGGGACTGAACTCAGCTCCTTCATTTGGCAGCAGGCACCTTTACCATCTGAGTCACACACACCAGCCCTCAACCTTGTCTGCAAGGGAGGGACGCTCTGGCTTCTTTTCCTCTTGTCTGATTGGCGGTTTGCTCCTCCCGTGCTTTGGACCCCTTAGTAAATGACAAGCCTTGCTTGAACACAGGCGTGGTCACACCGCGCAGTGCCCGGACAGCACAGATACTGGCTGTTGACTTAGTGGAGGATGTGCACCCCAAGTACAGAATGGAGGGTTTCCAGGTGGGGTGCATTAGAGCATGTGGGCTGTCTGACTGTAGTGAGGTCACTGAGGACAGGCAATCACTCTTTCAGTATTAGAGAACCTAAGCTGTATGGATTACTGCGTCTGTAGAGGAAGAAGGCTGTGGTGACCGAGCAAAGCCGTGTTTCTTCAGGAAGTGACTTGGGAGCCGACCCAAGATCTGGTTCTGTGCTTTACGGGAGCTGTGTGGGTCCCATTGTTGTAGCAGTGCAAGACTTCAAGCTGTCCCAAGCAAGATGGCAGAGATGTTTGCAGGTAGCATCTCATTTTAGACAGCTTGTCCTCAGGCTGAGTCTGCAATAAAGCAATTGATCAACTCTGTGGGATTATTGATGGTGGTCACTTATATTGGAAGCTAACTAGAAAATGCAGTTATTTTTACCCTCTGATTGATTTTCACCTTTCCTTCTGACCGTGGGTAAAGAGCCTGTTTTCAGGTTTACAGAAGACGATTCTGGACTGCTCTGTGGAAGATGCTCTTGGGGGTGGGAGTGCAGGGAGAGTGGAACATTTTTCCCCCACAGACCTTTAGACTCATCTCTAGAAGAGGAGCTGCCACACGGGAAGCCCAGCTTTGATGGCCCGTGTGGAAAAGTTGAAGGTGGTTTGGAGTGAACACAGTAGGAGATATTCCAGCTAGAGTGCAGGGTGGGTAGGAACTGCTGACCGCAGAGTGCTGGTGCTTCTTAGGATGGTGAGGGATGGGAAGGGCTGTGCTCAGTTTGAATGACCTGCCCCCCAACGCTTGCTTGCCCTAGCTTTATTTTTCCCAAGACGGCTCTCACTGTTTAGCCCAGGCTCAGACTCTGTCTCCTCTCTGTGTAGCCCAGGCTCAGAATCTCTGTCTCTTCACTGGGATTGAAGGTGTGTGCTGCTCTGTTCTTGCTGCACGGTCTTTATCTCTTAGGGTCCCTGAGGTACTCCTAGCCCTGCGAGCAGTGATTGCACACTGTGTTGAGCTGCTGAAGGATGTGGGCTAAGATGTGCTGGCTGTGTGGGGCTGCTTCTTAGCTTCTTAAAGTTCCATCAGTGGAAAAGGAGCAGGTGTGGGAGAAGGAACCAGGTGTGGTGGTGCACATGTTTAGTCCCAGCCCGCAGAGGCAGAGGCAGGCGGATCTCTGTGAGTTGTAGGCCCGCCTGGTCTACAGAGCGAGTTCCAGGACAGCTAGGACTATGTAGAGAGATCCTGTCTTAAATAAATAAACTAAGCAGAGAAGGTACTCAGACTTCAGTCTCCAGTGGAGAGAAACCCAGTAAAGTGAGGTAACGTGGTAACATGGGACTACTTAAAAGAGAAATCACCAGCGAGTAAACGGTGGTACGAGTCTGAGTTAACGTGATGGTACGCATGTCCCAAGCAGTGTCAGGACAGAGCACCAGTAAGAATCGTGTAGGTTGCACTTTGAGATGTGTTGTCTTTTGATCAGTTGACTCTGCTTCTGGGGATTCCTACAAGGAAGTGTCAACCCTCTGCCCTGTCCGTGGAGGTGGCTAACAGGCCAGAGAGGAGCGATGCTCTGGGTGCGCATCTGGGGTTCGTGTTGATCACTGTTTCTGTTGTGCTTCCAGATGAAGACCGTTAGTGTGGCCTTGGTCCTGTGCCTGAATGTGGGCGTGGATCCTCCAGATGTGGTGAAGACTACACCCTGTGCGCGACTGGAGTGTTGGATAGGTAAGTGTCAGCCCTCCCTTACTTAGGCACTTGTCATGTAAACTGTTGTTTTAGATATATTAACCTTCATTCTGCAGCAGAGAAAGTTTTGGTTGATATATAGCTTGCATACATGGTGTGTAATGGTAGGTATACACACTTGAAAAATTGGACAACTCATATTTGTAGGTAAATCTATTTATAGTAGTGGTGAATTGATGTATTTTAAGCACCGAGGATGGCTTACAGCAGTTGCCAGTTATGAGCTCCTTTTGTCTCCTCCGTCCAAGGCCCACATCAGAACGTTGCATTGCGCTTACATGTGTGCACATGCATACATGCATGCAGCAGTGTAGATGTGGAGGTCAAAGTGCGTCGTGGGAGTCAGTTCTCTCCTTTCAGGAGGTCGTGGAAATTGAACTCAGGGTGCATTTGTCCACCTGCTGAGCCCTCTAACTAGTTCCTGCCTGGCTTTTGTTTGTTTTTCTTGTAACAAATTGCAAATGCTTACTATTTCAAAATTTAACTACTCTAATGAAAATAAATTACAGAACACCTTCAGTATTTGTACATTATTTTCATATAACTATAGCAGTTTTTCAAAAGACGTCTTACGAAGGGTATTTTCACAATACCATGTTGCATAAACAGGACGGCATTAAAGAATATCAGGTTGAAACGTATCTCACAGTGCTGGCTTTGAAAGGGAGGAAAATGAGATACAAAAGAAGAGTTTGCTCTGAGTCATCCCTGAGTACATGATGGAGTAGGGAGGCTACATTAAGTGTGGAGTCTGCTCATTTTCAGAAACTGGAGCCAGGTGATGGTGGCACGCTTGCTTAATTCTAGCACGGGGAGGCAGAGGCAAGTGGATCTCTGTTAGGTTGAGGCCTTTCTGTTCTATATAGTTAGGTTCTAGGCCAGCCATGTACACTGTCGTAAATGAAGATAGGTGGGTAATGAAAATGTGTGCAACAGCCCTGGCTGCCCTGGAATTCACTCTGCAGACCAGGCTGGCCTCGAACTCAGGGATCTGCCTGCTTCTGCCTTCCAAACACAGGGATTAAAGGCATGCGCCACCATTGTCTGACTTAAAAATTCTTTATGAACATTTCTCAGGGCACACACAGTGTTGTTCAGCAATCACCAACATTCTCTCTAGGAGCTCTTCACACCACAGCTGCAGCTCTTTCCCTTCCCAGCCCCTGTAAGTTCCATTCAGGGTTTTTCTTTTTTGAGACAAGTGTTGTTATATAGTGTAGGCTAACCTCAACCTGAAGATCCCCCTGCCTCCACCTCCTGAGTACTGAATTACAGTTGGGCACCACCACATCGGCTAATCCGTTCAGAAGGACATACGGTTTTCCTAGATTGAGAACTGTGTATTTGGTTTTTACTGAGAGGTGGGCCCTGAATGGGCTGTTGTGACTTGACAAATGTGTGGCTGTGTAGAAGACTACAAATGCAAGCTTTGTGTTTGCTCTCAGCATTTGTGCTGTCACTAGAAATCAAAGAATTGTGTGCTCAAGACCCTAGCATTGCCGCCTGTTGGTGGCTCACACCTTAGATCCCAGAGGCAGAGGCAGGAGGATCTCTGTGAGCTCGAGGCCAGCCTGGTCTACAGAGCGACTTCCAGGACAGCCTGCAAAGCAATACAGAGAAACCCTGTCTCAAAAAAAAAACCAAAAAGAAGGAAGGAAGGAAGGAAGGAAGGAAGGAAGGAAGGAAGGAAGGAAGGAAGAGACCCTAGCGTCATTTGTCTCAGCTTCACTCTACCTGCTTAGCTGCCTTGAGCCGTGTTTCCTTTAGTAGAGAGGAGCTAATGGTGCCACCTGCCGCAAGGCTCCAGGGATACTGCGACCCTGGGCTCAGCTCCATGCAGAGACTGGCAAATTGTTTTTGTTTGTTTGTGCTACTGTAACAAAACAGGAGACGAGGTAATTAGTAAATGATGGAGGTCTAAGGCTCACAGTTCTTTCGAATGTAAAACTCAAGTAAAGATGGTGGCAGATGGTTTGTCTGGTGTCTGCGAGATGAGGATGCCTTGATCGCTGCTTGACTTGGTGGTCAGGGCAAAGGGTTTAGTGAGTTGCTTGCAGCCCTTGAATAAGGTCTGCAGTGCTCGTCTTAGGCAGTCTGCTATTGTGACTCAGTCTCTCCCCGTATGCCTCACCGCTTGGCACTGCCAAGCTTTGGGCTTATGTTCCAACAGAGGAATTTGGAGAGACATATTTATATCATAGTACCAACTGGCACTCTCCCCCGTGCAGTATCCTCCCCTTTCTCAACACAGCAGGGTACCAGGTGCCTCTTGCACCCAACTATGTAGCTGAAGAGGGGCATAGCAAGTGTGCCTCATTAGCTGTTAGGAACCTGCTGGCCTCTGGGATTGCTATGCAGTCAGGGCTGATGTCTAGCAGACGTCAGATAGTAGGATGCACATGTTCTCATTCCATGTACCGGATTAGACCTTTAGTGTGTCAGGTAGTTGTTGAAGCATAGCCCAGAGCTCTGCTGAAAGCTGTGGGTGTGGCCTTGTGGGAAGGGGAGGTTGAGCCGCCTGTGCTAGGCTGAGATGCTCAGGTCCAGAGTCGAGGGCTCTGGATGGAGCCTGAAGAGGACTAGACTTGTGCTTGTTGCCTTTGTTGTTGTTTGCACAACCTGAGCACGGGACAGAGGATCCCAAGGCTGCCTGGAGAGTGTGTCAGTCAAGTGTCCCTGAGGAGAAGGCACAGACTTTTCTGTCACCTATCCCAGATGGTAGGGCATGAGCTGTGAATGTCAGAGTATAGGCAGCATTGGCAGGTCCCCAGGAATTGAAAGCTCTTGGGGAGCCCTTGTTCCTCACTCCTCTGCTTTACAGACGCTGTTTTGCCTTCTGGAAACAACTCTTGTCTCTTTTCAGAAAAGCAGAAGAGAATGTTTGGTTTTATAGCTGATATTAAATGCTACAGTAGTAATAAGAGTACAGTCACTAAATGGAGTGTGCCCTGTGCTTGTGTGGGATGGTTTGCCTGACAGCAGAATGAATGTAGAGCAGCCTGCTGCGTGTCAGCAAGGGCCCTGGAGCCAGGCGTTGGTGTGCTAGCGGGACAAGCTGGGTGTCAAAAGAGGTTTGTCAGAGGCATGGTGCTGCCCTTAGCCCCACAGAGGCCCTGCAGACGAACTGAGACAGTGCGTCTGTCTGTTCTTGGTCTGGTTGTGTTGATTGCAGAGCACATGCACAGAGCCTGCTACTAGCTGGCCAGAGCAGACTGGAACCCCAGGTCAGCGCCAGTCTCCACGAGTGGCCTTGGAGAGCAATGTGGTGAAGGTCAAGTGGGCATTGCTGCACAGCCGGACAGTGACCTGCCTGGGCAGGAGTTGAGCTGGAGCTGCCAGCGAGGCGGGCAGTGGGGGTTTGCTGCGACCCGTGGCTCTTTGGGCTGTGGCATAGCTCCAGAGGCATTTGGAGCCTCTGCTTTTGGGGACTCATGGCTTAGAACACTACGTTCTCTGTTCTTTGTGCCAGCATCTTAAGGTAGTACCCCCCTCACCTTTGAGGGAGGATAGCATAGCCACCTGTAGTCTCTTCTCTTACTTCTTACTCCTTTTCATTGGACATAATCCCAGAGGCTGTGTTTTAAGTCATGAATCCCATCCAAGTCCCCTTGCAGTTTGTAAAGTAAGGTAGCTCCTGGTTTTGATCATAGCAGGCTTTGGTTTGCTCTGCAGTCACGTGACAAGGTCAGCCGTGGATAGACACTGTCTGCCCTTTGATCCTAGCCATGCCAGGGTTGAAAGGTCCCACCCCTAGGCAGACTGAAGTGGACCTGCCCAGCTCTGCACAGCCTCGTGGGCAGGCTTTGCCCTGAAGCTCAGTGAGGAGGCCAGCCTGGCACTGTGTTTGCCACTAATTATAAAATGGAGAGATGACATTATGATTAATAAGATACAGTCATCAAGAGCCATTCCTAATTTCAAAGTAGCCCCTTTGCTATTATGTATTCTCTCAATCAAAAATTAGTCATTCAAGGTTATGCAACTAATTAATGGAGGAATCCTTGAAAGACACTCTCTGATTTACACTCCATCCAGTGGGCAGAACTCTACTAATCAGTCAATTAGCAAATGCTTAAGTGTCTGCTAACTACAAGGCACAAAGAACTACAAAGGTTCTTTGAGCTGGGAGCTGTGTGTCACTTCTGCTTTTGTGTTTCTGTTGTGGCACAGACTGCATACGGGAGGCTGAGCGTGGCCTACATACAGGAGCCTGTGGTTCAGCCTGCATTCAGGAGGCTTTACCTAATCCAAGCGCATGGCCAGCTTCAGAGACTTTTCCCAACCCCCCCCCCCCATGATACCAGATCCCTGCAGAACATGGGACCAGAAGCCAAGGGTAGCCACATTCCCGGAATCTGGCACGTGTGCTCTTGGCAGCATGTGTTCTTGTTTGATACGTATCTGAGTGGGAGTGTCTGGTGGGCTCAGCCGGCTTCTTTTCTCCTTTTGGGGGTCCTGCTTACCAGGATCAGAACCAGATACAGGGACCCACCAGCCTGTGGAGTCTCACAGAGCCTTCCCAGAGTGCTGTCAGCAACATGCACAGCAATAGCAGAATGCCGCGGGCTTGGGAAGGATAGTCTGGCTGGGCACCGCATCAGGGCATCTATGTGTGAAGAGACAATAAGCAAAGGAGAAAGAGAACAGATTTTGCTGTTGTCTGACTGATAATACTGTCAGTGCCGTACAGGACCAGAGAGCTTCAGCTAGGCTGGGAGGTGCTCAGCCGCAGGTCACATATGAGTGCTGTGAGACTCCCTAAAGCTTTACCGTGATGCCAACTTGTGCTCTTCCAACCCTTCCTCTGTCATCCCCTTTATCACTTCCTTCCCAGTTCACTCGAGACAAAATGAAGCCACACAGGCTTTGGGAGATAGGGTTTGTCAAGAGAGGATTATAGCTGTGAGCCTGCACCTGACAGTGGCCGGCGTACCCGGAGTTAACCTCTGTTGGTGACGTCGGATGGTTCTCTCTGCTCGCCTTACTATTTGCTCTCTTCCGTTTCATGGCTCTTCTCCTCATTGGCATAATTTCTGAGGAAATAAAACTAATTGACCGAAGGGATTTCTAGTAGATCAGAGGTAATGCACTGTTGTGTGGCAGCCTTTTCCTAGGGAGATGCAACACACACACTCACCCTGTGTGGCGGCGGCTCACAAAGCTGGGGACCTGGCCCACACTTCACACACGGCTTGCACGCAGCTCAGCAGGTTGGAGACTGTCTTCCCGGTGCCTCAGTTGCTCTCCTTTCAATCTCAGTTCTGTTTTTTCCCTTTTTCTGTATTTGCTTCAGGTCTGCCCGCCTCTCTCTGCCTCTTGGCGAGTGCGTCACCACGCTCAGCTGTCCTGAGGGGGGCGGCTGCAGCCTTAGTTGGGAAGAAGAGATGAGGTTGACGTTCAAGTGAGAAGGACACCTTCATTCCTTCCACCTACAGGGTAGACCAGACCCCAGGAGCTAACGCTTCTGCAACCCTCCTGCCCTCCCTGTGCTGTGGCTTATTAGATAGAACCACATGCGCTGATAAGATGAGGCACGATAGGCCTATCTTTCCAAAGAGGAGAACACCTTTTCTTACCCACAGGCTACCACACTCACTGCTGCTGCACAGTTACCAAGTGTGTGCTTATCCTGTTTCCGGGACTTGCCCTGTTCACCACAGACAGCCTGCTGTTTGAAAGGCTTCTCTTTGTTAGGGCTGCATAGGTGGCAGTTGGTAGAGTTCCAGCCTAGTCTGCAACGAGTCTTGGGTTTGATTCCCAGCACCACATGAACTGGGTGTGGTGACACATGTCTAATCCTAGCACGGGGGAAGTGGAGGCAGAGGGTCAGAAATTCAAGAGGCGAGGAGCTACCTAGCAAGGTTTGGGACAGTGGAAGCACATGAGATCCCACCTCATACAGGCGTCTTTGACTTTAGAAACATAGTCAACCCCTGCTTCTTGCCAGCCTTGTGTTAGTCATGGCCTGTGGGTCGGGGTCGCCAGGATTGTTACAGATCCTAGGAGAACTGTCTCCATAGAGCACAGAGAATGAAGACTGGATGCCGTGTCTTGTGTTGGTCGACAGAGTTCCCATAGTTCTTCAAGGCACAGTAGCAAGAACAGTCTCTCACACGCTTTCACTCAGCAGTGTGGTTCCTCTGGAGCTTGGATTGGAGTTTCTAGCACCTGTCTTGAAGTCCTTTGAGGATGCTGACCGGAGTTACAGACAGTTCTGAACATGTCTTGTAGGTTCTGGGAATTGAACTCTGGAAAGAGCAGCCAGTGCTCTTAATGCTTGAGCCATGGCTCCATCCCAAGATTTACTTTTGTAATCAAAAGCTCTTTATGTGTCTGTGTGTGCTTTGCTAGCACAGGGGAGGCTCTCCTTCAGCGGTGCCGCTGTCCATGAGTCGGCACATCCCTGTAGCTAGCCACCAGGGGAACTGAACTCTACCTGGGTAGAGTTGTTTCTTTGTTCCTGTGTTCTTTGCCCTGTCTGTTGACTGTGAGAACATTTGTGTTCTCTTAGAAACATTTGACCTTTCCTGCTGATGGTAGAAAAGCCCTGTGGGTAAAGCTGCTGGAATCTTCCAAAGGGTGAATGCAGTGACTGCTGTGCTTTCTTTAGCTTTGCAGTTTAAAAAAAAAAAAAAAAGAAAGAAAGAGCCAGGTGATGGCGGCACACACTTTTAATCCCAGCACTCAGGAGGCACAGCCAGGGCTACACAGAGAAACCCTGTCTTCACCCATTCCACCCTCTAAAAAAAAAAAGTAACTTGCTGGCAGCCATAGTCACATATTGGCTAGAGGCTGATGGCGAGCCCTTGGACCAAGTTCCCCTCACCAAAGACCGCAGAGAAGTTTAGTGACTCAAGCACTGGGAGCGGTTTGGTTAGGAGGTTCCTTCTCTCGAGTAATTGTCCCTGTGTTCATGTGCTGGGGAGGTGAGTGCGCACAATAGTGACACTAACAACAAGGCCATCCATGGCAGAAATCTGAGGATGAGAATGTCACCCTGCAGTGTACAGAGTCTGGGACCAGACACCTGTGCTTGGCCAGGCTTTCCTCTGTGAGGTGGAGTGGCCTTTGGGAAGGTAAAGGCATGAGCATTGTGAAAACTGCGTGCTGCTTTGGGTGTAGGAGTGGCAAGGCCACTTGGAAGTTTGATAGGGCCGACTGTGGCCAGCTCTTTCTAACGCTTCTGACTGTTTGCACCTCTGCACGGTCAGGAGCAGACACCTGCGCCCCATCTGCTCGTGGTGCTCCCTTACCTTGGTGCTCTCACTGCCTTGGGCTCCATGTTTTCCTTACTCCTCCTAAGTCTGGCTGGACTTAGTTAATCATTATGAATTCAGACTAAATAAAAAAAAAATCCAGCTTTTAAAAGATTGTCTTTGGTAAATCAGAAATGCATACCAGATTTCTTAAATTTCAGTTCCCAAGAACGCTCCTAATATTTTGTATGATGAAACTAGAGTCTGTGAGAGCCCCAAGCCATGGGCAGAACCGGCTACCCATGGCAGCTTCCAGGAGCTCCCACAAAGCTGGTGTAGGTGCTGAGCTGCCCGTTTTGCATGGCCACCCACCTGTCTTCACCTGAGGGAAAGTGAACGAAGTGGGTTGTCACTGACATTGATAAGATTTGGAAGCTTGTGTCTGCCACTGTGAGTTGGTGCCGCCTTGATGCTGAAAGCATCCTCTGATGAGGTGTCTTGTGTCCGTGAGTGTGGATTTGTACTCAAACACCAGGGAATGAGGTGGGATCTGCATCACTTAGTGAGCAATGCTTCCCCTCAAAGGGTGCCGCAAGGCAGCTCAGTGCAGAGCTCAGATAGCGTATATATACCAAGTAATCATAAAGAGACGTCATGGCAGAGGAAAGGGCCATGACCATTAAACCACTGTTTTTAAAGGTCTCCCCTCCCCTACGGTGAGCGTGTGTGAATGCGACAACAAATGTCAGGGTACATGAACGCAGATTCAGAGTCCAGCTCCCAGTGAAGACATTCACAACAACCCCGTTCTTCTCACTAGACTTTGTGTTTGCTTGTTTTGTTACTGTTATTATTTTAGTTCAGGGTCTCTGGGCAGGCTGGGAGCTTCCTATGTATCCGGGGATGACCTTGAACCTCTGATCATCCTGCCTCCACCTCCTGGGCACTGAGATTTCAGGCCTGTACCTCCATTCTTGTTTTTTGTAGTGTTGAAGATGGAACCCAGGGCTTCATGCATGGTAGGCCAAGTATTCAACCAACTGAGCTATGTCTTCAGCCCCTTATCACTAAGTTTTTGAAGAGATCATAATTATTTTTCGTTAGTGTAGTGAGTGTTCTTCCCAACAGCCTGGTCCCAGTGCTGCCTCAACACCAAATAACACACAGAGACTCCATTAGTTACAATGTTGTTGGCCAATGTCCAGGGCTTCTCATTGGCTATTTCTGTCTTAAGTATTAACCCATGACTACTAATATATATTTCCGATCCTGATGCGCCTCTCTTCCCCAGGCAACCTCTTGACTACGTTTCCCAGAATCCTCTTCGACTCATAGTCCCACCTATCTTGCTTCCCTATTGGCCAACAGTGCTTTATTAATCAACCAGTAGGACAACATATACACAGAAGGACTTCCCCCATCACTTTGTAAATATTCATGTGAAGACAGTGAATTTATCATATTTAGTTTATTTTATATTTTTTAAAAAGACGATTATATATATGAGTGTTTTGCTCACATGTATGTCTGTACTGCTTGCATACTGGGTCCAGGAGGTCAGAAGGCATTGGATTTTCAAGAACTGGAGTTACAGATGGTTGGAGCTGTGACGAGGGTGTTGGGAATTGAATACAGGTTCTCTGTAAGAACAAGTGTACTTAACTGCTGAGACATTTTCCAGTCCCAGTTTGTCATGTTTAGATGAAAGAATAAAGATAAAATAATTTTTCTTACATGAATTAAATACTCTGTTTCTCTCTCATTTGCTCATTCTTTTTGTAGCACGGGCTGGCCTTGAACTTGTGATTCTCCTGCCTGGCTCTCATATTCTAATATGGTATATATCAGGGAACAAAAGCTCTTTGGGGTCATCAGATGCTTAAAGAGTGGCAAGGGGTCTTGAGACGGACAGGGTCAGGGTTGTTAGCATAGAAGGTGCTCAGTGACTAAGCCGAAAACCAGGGGTGTTTGTGTAAGTGACAATCTAGATGAAAATTGGTGTCGCCCCTCCTTCCCTGCTTTCTTCCTCTTCCTCTCCCTTCTTCCTTCCCTCCATTCCCTCCTCCATCTCTGCACACAGGAGAGTTGCAGTTTTAGTATGGGATCCCAATAGAAGCCCAGGTGACCTCTCTGCTCGTGTCAGCAGAGCAGAAGAATGGGGTGATGGCAGGTGCTGAGCAGGAGTAGTTGCCAGGCCGAGGGATTGCCCTGAGCCATTTAGTAAGCCAGCAGGCTGTGGAGCCGCTCCTGCCCAGGGTGTGTTATAGCTCTGCTTCTGGTTAAGCACAGGTAAAGCTGAGGCCTGGACGGGTGTCTTGTCAAACAAAGGTGACGGCACTGTGGAGGAGATTGTACATTTACTGACCCCTCTCTTTGTTGCTTCTGCAGATCCTCTGTCTATGGGTCCTCAGAAAGCGCTGGAAACCATCGGTGCAAATCTACAGAAGCAGTATGAGAACTGGCAGCCAAGGGTAAGCCCGTTCTGATTGCCTTTCTGTTCTCCGTCACGGCTTCCTTGCTTTAAACTGAGTGAGAACCCTGGCTTCTTATCAGATCTTCCAGTGAGTACCTGGAGGCTCCTGTCACATATCAGTCCCCATGCAGCCTTCCCGCTGTAGCCCAGGAGGCTTGTGAGTGGTGCACACAATGTCTGTTTGGTGTAACGTTCCCCTAGAAAACTTTTATAAAAAGTTGAGACAGGGTTTCTCTGTGTAACCCTGCTGTCTGGAACTTACTCTGTAGACCAGGCTGGCCGAGAACTGCCTCTGCCTCCCGAGTGCTGGAATTGAAGGTGTGTGCCACCACCACCTGGCTAAGGATTTAATTTTACACACACACAAAAAAAAAGAGTCAGTTAGAGCGAGCTTTCCTGCCTTAAGTGTTGAGATGTAGGGGAAGAGCACGTAGCCCTCAAAGGGTGACACCTATTATGTGTTTAGCTCAATACACAGAAGGTGAGGTTCCTTTTAGGCATAGTCAGCTGCCAATTGATGTGTCTTTGTTGCTTATCTCTGGTGGCAAGGCTCCAGGTCATTCAGAGAGATTTCTGGGTGCTCATGTTTTACATTTGGGCCTTTTTTTTTTCTTTTTTCGTTTCTTTCCTTTTGAAGACAGGTTCTCAGGGCTTTGCTTTTTAGCTTGTTGTCTGAATTTCAAATCTGTGATTTCTGGTGGTTCATATTAAAAAAAAAGCGTGTAATGCAATTGGCTGTTGGTTAGGACTGGAGAGATTTCCTTAAAAGTAGCGGAGATGCCCGTGTCCCTGTGAAAGAATAGCTTCTTTGAAGGTTTGCAGGTGTCCAGCATGTCAGCTGGAGGGCCAGCACTGGAGGGGGCACACCTTTGATTCAGCTGCTCAGACGTTTGCTGGTCTTCTTCCCGCCATTGCTTGTTTGTCTAGGATGGGACGTGTCAGACCATGTCCATTCACATCCTCCAGTGTGTGCTTACACAGTGTTCCTAGAGTGCTTCAGATCGTGCGATGTTCTCAGTGACTCTCGCTGTTCTAATTGTTGTTTCCTTCTTTTAGAGAATTAGTCTATGGGGAAGTAATCATTCAGGTTACACACTTGAGATTTGAGCACATTAATAATGTGTGTGCGCGTGTGTGTGTGCACGCGCGCGTGTGCATGCCAGCCAGCCAGCTTCATTACTCACGTAGCTTGGCATGAAGGTGGGTGTTAGTTAGTTCACGCTAGCAGACAGTGGACAGAACCTTCTAAAGTGGGAACTTTGGGACAGGCTCCCTACATAGCTCTGGTCATCCTGAGACTCACTCTGTAGACTAGGCATTAAAGGGTTTGCCACCAGAGTGCACTGTAGCGCCCTGTGGGTTCAGACCTGGAGTTAAACAGTTGTGAGCTGCCGTGTGGGTGCTGGGAATTGAACCTGGGTCCTCTGGAAGAGCAGCCAGTGCTCTTCAATGCTGAGCCATCTCTCCAGCCCTCTTTTAATCTCTGCCCCAGAGCAAATCTGTTCCATGTCATTGTAAGTCAAGGCAGGTCACACTTACTGCAGTAACTGACCCAGACACGAGGACAGTAGTGTGGTCACTTGCAGGACGAGGCAGTGGAGAAGCTGCCCTGGGACAGTGGGGCAGGCTTCCGGGGTCTCTAGTGTGGAGAGCCGGTTAAAGCCCAGGTTTCAGAGACAGACCCGTGAAATCCGAGCAGAGGACTTTGAGGTGGGCAGGGTTCAAGGTTGTAGGATGCTTAGAAGAAGATGTCAGAGCAAGACACAGGCGGAGCTGCAGTTCAGCAAGAGGCCGATTGTCTTTCCCTACCCCCAGGGAGCTCTGCTACAGCCGCAAATAGCAGCTGATTTCTTCCTGGATGCCAGAGCGAATGCATTCATTTTCACATGTGCTACAAGTATCTCAGAGTTTCTTGATGTGTCCCCTTAGAAATCAGCCTGTAGTAATGTATGTCACTGGGACACCTCCGTCAAACGCAGGGATGTGCTGTAAGAACTGGGTGTGAATCGTGTCCTCTTCTGCTTAGATACCTCCTTAGGAGTGGAGGGTAGAGTAAGGAGTTCCAGCTTCAATGCAGAGCCCCCACTAGGTGCAGATTTCATGCTGCAGGAAGAGTTTTCACAGAGCTCGAGGCAATTACCCAGCTCAGATGTGTGGTGCAAGTTACATTGTCCCCAACTATAAACCAGGATTCTTTGAAACATGGCAAAGCTAAACATGCACCGCTTTACCACACTCTGGAGACCTCTTGTGCCTCTGGGGTAATAGAGACATTGACTTGCCATCTGCACCAGAGCAATGGAGTGGTCTTACATTCCAAGATGTGAGCTGGAAAGACGCTAGGCTCCACTTTCTGGATGGTCTTACATTCCAATACCTGGGCTGGAGAGACGCGAGGCTCCGGTTCCTTTCTCTTCCTCTGTGCTTCACTGCCTCACTCACAGAGGTCGCCATCTGCAGTGAGGTTGTCTCATTCGCGTTTGCTGAAATCACATCAGCTTCCACACTGATGTGTGTGGGAATAGATGGGTGTTGATCTCCATTGCAGGCTGAGCAGACCGTAGCCCACAGCGCCAGTGAGGCCTGGCACACTGCCTGTTCCTTGGTAGTGCCAAAACTCCCACATTTCCTCCTTACTTCTCTGGCTGAGGTGGTTCAGGGTCACATACTTTGATGAAGGTGAATTTGATTCAGGAAAAATTTTTTAGAGAAACCACGGTTATTTTATTTCCAGAGGCTACCAGACTGTATTGGACCATATTTTCTTGCCTGGCTGATTGAGCCCTTTCCTAAATAATTTATCAGTTTGACATTTGTGGAATATTTGTTTCTAGTTAAATTTAAGACCTTGCCTTTAGGTATATAAACTCCAGTTTTATGGGGGATTGAAGGGAGAATGCCAACTGTAGTTCAGCTGAGAATTCAGTATCGAAGCTCCCTTGTCTCATGATGAGCCTCAAGTGCAAGCTTTATTGGGAGCAGAGAGCGGAACTTTTGGGCTTTTAGGAACTCGCCCGACAGATTGGGGTGCTGGCGGTTTAGCATGAGATGCAAGCCAGGAGCTGGAGGTGGGCCCACTTGCCAGGTCTCCATTCCCTAAGGCTGGGCCCGGGAGGCGCCGTGCCTCTGCAGGGGTAGCTCCAGCTCTTCTTGTAAGCAAATCTGGAGGAATTGTTACCGCTTACTGTGGGAGGTGAGGAGCTTTGGTGCATCTGGCACAGTTGGCGGAGAGCTGAGGTGACCATTGAATGGGCCTTTTGGTCAGTACACGTGTCCCCAGAGGGGAGGATGTGCTGTACTGTGAATCCACTTTGCCAGAGGAGCCCCTTCTCATCTAGACAAGCAGGAACGGCTGCAGGTTCTGTGGTCACCATGGTCTCATGGGAGCCACATGCGGCCGCTTTCTGTGTTACACGGAGTTCTTCTTGTGTCTGTCACAGTGGACTTGTAGTGAACAAATGAAACATGTTTTTATAGATCTTACTGCCAAACAGTGGACTTGGGAACCTGATCGCTTTCTAACAAAACAAGGCTCCTGCTCTGGTTCTTTCTCTGGAGAGCCCCCATTGCTACCTTGGTGATAGGGCTGTGCTCTTGGACTGCACACACAACTCCCCCCCCCAGGTTTCTTGTTTTTTTGAGTTTGGGTTTTAGGTTTTTTGTTTTTGCTTCTCTGTGTAACAACCCTGGCTGCCCTGGAACTTTCTGTGTAGACCAGGCTGTCTTCAAACTTACAGAGATCCCCCTGCCTCTGGCTCCCCAGCACTGACACTTTTCTGTGTTGGATCTGTAAGCTTGTTCTGTGGAGGCTTAGGTATGGTGTTGCTTACAGAGCTCAGTATTTATGTGGGTTGCAGGTAGTGTTGCTGGGATCTGAACTTCTGTGCTTCCTCCTCAAGGGGGCTAGTTGCTGGCTGTCGGGAAACTTGAGGGGCCACAAATGGCTTGCTGCTCAGTGAACTATGAGTTCTAGGCTTGGAGAAAGCCCTCTCCTCCCCAGTTGCCTGCACTCCCAGAGCCCTGAGGGTAGGCTTGTAGCATTTCCTGGGCTACTACAGGTTCCTGTGGTCTCAGGCTGTAGATGCGTGTCTCTGCTCTGGGGAGCAGAATGGATGGTGCTAGTACTCCTCCCTGACCCCACCCTGGAGTTCTGTCTGGATTTACTTTGGGATGTGTTGAACACTGGTGCTGGCATGAGTCAGTGTGCTCTGCCTTACTCGGGATCTTCAGAGCCAGATATAGAAGATCTGAGAACATAGTGCACCCCCAGCTATTGATAGCACTGCTCATCTGGACACATAGTCCTGTTAAGGCGCCATCTGAACACAGCCCTGTTAGGGCGTGTCACGGTCCTTCCTTGGTGTGCTGTCCTTGTGTCATGACTGCACCATGTTCATGGTATAGTTGGCTTCCTCTTCCAGCTTCTCTCTCCTTCTCGACACGGCTGCATTCTCTGTGGAGCCAAAGGTTGGGCATCAGCCACCTGTTTGTGTTTCTGTGACAAACTGCAAATGAGGACTCCTAGCCACAGGCAGAATTGTAGCTGGCTGACTCACTGTTGACATGATTCAAAATCCTGTGTGAAGCGCTTTGTCCCTGTCCTCATTAAATTTGTAAGATGGTGTAGATGTGTCTTCGGCTGTTGTGGGGTTAACCATTGGGTTGTGATGGTTTCCCTTAGCTGCTTCCTGTCCAGATGTTAGAGTTGTACCCATGACAAGTGTTTGCCTGTGTGCTCGTTCTGCCGTTAATCATATTCCGTCCTACATCCTTCCCATCTTCTCTCCTGTTGTCTGGCAGCTTCTCCATGGGCTGTGTTCAGGGATAATTCTGATGGATGCTCTTCAGCTGAACGGCTTCTTAGTCAGCCCTGCCCACGCACTTCCTGTCTTGCCCTGTCCCCAAAGGCCATGATGTTGCAGCAGCCTTCTGGATGTGGAACTAAGATCTAAAAACCAGTTCCAGACTCACAAACCTGAGCTACCCCTGTAGCTAATA